GCTGCGCAAGGGCAACGACGCGGAGCGGGTGGGCGCCGGCGCCCCGGTGTACCTGGCGGCCGTGCTGGAGTACCTGACGGCCGAGATCCTGGAGCTGGCGGGCAACGCGGCCCGCGACAACAAGAAGACGCGCATCATCCCGCGCCACCTGCAGCTGGCCATCCGCAACGACGAGGAGCTCAACAAGCTGCTGGGCAAGGTGACCATCGCGCAGGGTGGGGTGCTGCCCAACATCCAGGCCGTGCTGCTGCCCAAGAAAACTGACAGCCACAAGGCCAAGGCCAAGTGAGCACCTGAGAGCAGCGCCCGGGAAGTTGTTCCCTCAGAAACCCAAAGGCTCTTTTCAGAGCCACCCACTACATCACTAAAGAGCTGAAATTCCTTTAAGTGAGTTTGTAAACACCAATAGGATTTCTTCATAAACAAACTTCTTGCTTTTTTTTTTTCCAAGAATTACGTTACAGCACATTTAAAAGCACGTGTTAGTGCGTGAGAAGGAGAGGACGTTAATGTTATTCAAATCCCCCATCCTGTGTTAGCGCTGAGGTGAAAACTGGTAGCAACCGAAAATCGTCCCTGCCTCTTCCCCTCTCGTGTAGTCTCACACAAGGGTGTAGCAAAGAAAGGGTTAAATTTTGGCTACAAGGCTGGGTTTGAAAACAAAGGGATGAAGTCTTTAAGCAGCACTTAACACGCGTTAAAGCGATGTCCACCCTCAAAGGAGCGAACCGCCTCCCCAGTAGTGTAGCACGTTAACGATCAGAGCAGCACCAAGGGCTGCTCCTGAACCGGGGAATTCCGTCCCACCCACAGCGCGCCCTTTTTGAGCTTCTTTCTGGGTCAGACTCGGAAACTATACCGAATTCCAGTATGCACCGACGGTGTAACAGAAGTAAAATAAACACCCTCTTTCAGCCCTTTTGTAGAGTGTTTGGGTGGCTCTTAAAAGAGCCGTTGGGTTTAAGTGCGCAGCAAGAGCTTTCTGCCACGGGGGCTTACTTCTTCTTGGGTGCCGCCTTGCCTGCTTTCGGCTGGGCCGCCTTGGGCTTGGCTGCTCTGGGCTTCACCGCCTTCGCCTTGGCCGGGCTCTTCGCGGCTGCCACCGCCTTTTTGGGCTTGGCAGCCTTGGTCGCCTTCTTGGGGCTCTTTGCTGCTTTCTTGGCCGCCGCAGCCGCCGGCTTCTTGGCTTTCTTGGGGCTCTTCTTCACCGCCGCTGCCTTCTTGGGCTTCTTGGCGGCGCTGGCGGGCTTTTTGGCCGCCGGCTTCTTAGGCTTGGCTGCAGGCTTTTTCTTGGTTGCCTTCTCCTTTGTCTCACCCGGCTTCTTGTTCAGTTTGAAAGACCCGGAGGCGCCGGGGCCCC